TTTGGTGGGATAGAGTCACTGGCGTACATATAGGGGTCGCAGCTGCGACCAGGCTCGTCATCCCAGGGGGCTCGGCTGCCCTGCGAACCCCTGAAACTGGGCACCAGTTGCCATGGTTTGCGTCCCAGGCCCGCACGGCAAACCGCTGGGGCCGCCGTTCAAGGGGCCCTTACTGTTAGGGCCACCCGATGGGTATGGTTTTGCTGGGGGGCCCGGTCAGCGCTGCGCGCTTTAAGGGAGGAAAGAGGGGGGGGTCATGGATGGGTTTCACACCAGGGCCCCATAGATTGTGTGTACACCACTGAGCAGAATTATATATTATCACTAGAAATTCCATTAGTAAAATGTGACGACCAACTCATTTAATATGGGTTTTGTTTTTCTTATATTTCTTAAACAGTAAAACACATGCTCCTAAAAGCTACCCCTCTCCCCATCCACCTGGCCATTCACTGCTTTCTCAAGCCATCCGTGCAGCCACAGGACCAGCAGGACATTGACACCTAAGGACAGATGTCTTTTTTGTTCACTACTGTGCATTTTTCTTGGACGGGGGAGGGGATATTGTAACTATTGTACTGATTTTTTCCTCCTACCATCCCAAGTCACATTCACCCACGGCTGCAGCGAGGTATGATGTGCTAAACCTTTTTGCAAGCAGATTAATCTGAATTTAATTTTCCCAGGAATAGTGGGAGTTTGAGCGCAGGGCTTAATTTTCTATGTTTGTATTTGCTTTTTGTATGACACAGCCATGTTACAGTTCTGCCACCCACCCCATGTGTTCCCTAATAAGGGTTAATAAGTATGTAGGGGTTTAGATAATGCCCCTTTCTGTCTCATTAGAGAGTTTGTCTTTTAGCTAAAAGAAGCAAGGTGAATTGTTAGTTAAGGACTCACCTAAGAGGTTTTGTCTAGACCTGGCAGGTGAGCTTACACTCTAATGGGTATTGGAATGATACTAAAAACCTCCAGATATTTAAATGTGCGTAGTGATTTGGGATAGTTCACAAGTAACTTTTTTCTTTGAATTTAAAGTTTATTTAGTAATACACCTTTCAATCCTGACATTATTATTTAATCGGCTGTTTTATGAATAGGAATATTTGAACGTGGGAATTCTTGTAAGCAGATCATTCCTGCTGATCTATTAACTGAGTGTTACACTGTGGTGAATTGAAAGCTGAACTCTAAAATTCAGGATAATATAATGGACAATCTGTGATATAGCAGAGTTGGAGAATTACTTTCAAATCAGCCGTTTTGTTGCAAACATTTTGCAGTTTGGTTTTTCCATCCAAAGCAATTCGGTGTTTAGTAAAAATGATTGTTCAATGATAGTTTTGGGAGGTGTTGGAATTATAAAAACATTGCCAACCAAACCTTTGTTTATTAGATGTCTCAGAATGGCTATAATGTGGATGTCATATATAAAAAATACATTTTGCAATGCACAGAAATAATGTTAATTCTATACCACGTGTCTCTTGTTTGATTTAACCTTAGTTTACTTATAATATATAATTAGTTTAATTTATAGGGTTGGGAATTGTGCAATATTAACAAAGGAATTGGAAATTGTAGTGATAATTGTCTGGAATTCAAAGGGAATTTTAAAATGAGCATAGCTGACTTTTAAATGTGGAATTCAGTTAAGCAATACAGCGGCCATTGCTCATTATGACATTATTATGAAATCTGTATCTTTAAACTATTTACTTTAAAGTGAGCAAAAAAAAAAACCAAAATACTTGATTTGTGAAAAGCAATTATATTTTAAGGAAGTAGGGCACAACTAGAGTATAAAATCTGTATTCTAGAGCAAGTATGTTACAATTGTGTAGCTTTAATCAGAATGTAACCCTCCAGCTATTTCCACACTACAGCTGTAGAAGTTGGCAAAGCATCATGGGAATTGGAATCTAACAGCTGTTGTATAGAATATATTGTTTGTTAAGTCTTCGCACAAGCAACATGTGTTCGTAAGTAACACAATCTCCTCACTCTGAGCAAAGCTGACCAGCTGCTGTAAAATTTACCTCTAAATACAATAAAACAGCCACAGCTATTACTCTCCATTTTCTTTGTTAAATGGTTGCACAGATCATGCTAGGTTAGTGTGCTAACAGCAGGATACGTTAACACACTAGATGGAGAGCATTTGTGGGGTAATGGCTTTTTGATCCAAGGATAAATCTGACTGTCATTCTGGAGTCAAATAGGATTTTTTCCTAGTTTGTTGCAAAATTGGAAGTGCTTCAAACTGGGTGTTTTGTATTCGCCTTCTTTTGGATCAACAGCAAAAAAACAGATGTGAGAGAGACTGTACTTGATGGACACATGTCTCTTTTCAGCCTGTGTAACTATGCAAGTTGCCCGTGACACGCATAATATGACCATTGTACAGTTGAAATATTCTTTAACTATTTCTCACTTAGCATTAGCATTCAACTAAGATTTTAAAGGGACACTATAGTCAGCTCAATAAAGTGGTCTGGGTGCCAGGTCCCTCAGTTTCAGAGAAACTGCTATGTTTACATTTGGGGTTAATCCAGTCTCTAGTGGCTGTCTTCCGGACAGCCACCAGAGGCGCATCTGCGTCGCTGGATGCATATTTCGCATCCATTGCACAGAGTGTCCATAGGAAAACATTGAAAAATGCTTTCCTATGGACACTTTGAATGAACGCGCGGCGCTTGCCGCACATGCGCATTCGGCTCCACTGACGTCGGTGGGGGAGGAGAGTCACCAGTGCCGAGGGAGCCTGGCGCCGGATTAAAGTAAGTAACTGAAGGGGTTTTAACCCCTTCAACACAGGGCTGGACTGGCCCACCGGGATACCGGGAAATTTCCACCTGGGGCTGCGCTGCGCATATAGGTGCCACCGGGTGGCCGGTCCAGTGGCACACTCAGAGTGGGCCAGCTGCATTCCAGGCTGGAGCCGCCGGGCCGGGTGGCAGCTTCGCCGGTCCGGCGGCACTTCTGTCACTGATGATGCTGAGGGCTGAAGGAGGAGGAGCATGTCTACCATGCTCCCTCGCGGTTCCCACAATCCCCAGCACATTATGCTGTATCAGCATCATCAGTGACAGAAGTGCCGCCGGACCGGCAAAGCTGACACCCGGCCCGGCGGCTCCAGCCTGGAATGTGGCCGCCCCCCTGACTTCCCTAGGTAAATGGGGGATGAGGGGGAATAAAACAGAGAGGGGAATAGACACAAGGGTAGAAAGAGACAGAGGGGGAGAAAGAGGAGGAATAGAGAGATGGTGGAGGGAGGAGAAAGAGACAGAAGGAAAGAGAGATGTGGAGGAGGGAGAGACACAGGGAAAGGGGGAGAAAGAGACAGAGGGGAAGAGAGATGTGGAGGAGGGAGAGACACAGGGAAAGGGGGGAGAAAGAGACAGAGGGGAAGAGAGAGACAAAGAGGGAGAAAGGAGAGAGGAACACAAGGGGAGTGGGAAAAAGAGGCAGAGGGGGAAGAGAGAGACATACAAAGGCTTCCTTAGTGATTTCATGGATCAAATTTTGCACCAATCCCACTATCAATATATCTGCACATTTATATATGAATACATTATGCATTACATCAGTCAGTGATTTTTAACCCTTTGGATTATACAGGATGTTTTGTTGGATGGAACAAATGGAATCTTTGTGGTATCATGGTATGATTCTCCTTATATTTTGAGCTAATTTTCTTATTTTCGACCCATTAGAATTCCTATTCGTTTCAGAAGGGCACTGTTTATTTTCCCAAGATGGAGGGAGTCGGTTTAAAAGGAAAGCTGAAGGATCAGTCCAGGAATGCAACATTGGAGAAATATCCATACATCCGTTCTCTGGGTAACACGTTTTAATTAAAACTACACCGTGCTGGGCTAGCAGAAATAAAAAGCTACCACTGCACAAGCACACTGACACGTTAGTATGATATTAGAGAGATTACACTATATTTGTTTCAATCTCTTGTGTCAAATATACAGGTGGCGTTGATGTAAAACCTGGAATTGCGTCTGTAATGAAAGGAGGAGAGTCACCCTTTATCAGAATTCCACACCATAAGAAGGAAAGTCCTCTACCTACAGGTATTTAATGTATAACCTAGAATTTACACAGCTTCAAAATGTTGATGACATGGTAAAGGAACTATTGCATATATTTTGTCATGGATCTAGTACAAATATACTGTAATAAAATACTTTTCAGATCTGTTTTTCGTGTCTTTTAAATGTTGTTTTAATGAGCTGTTGAAGGTAATTTGAAGGTATTTTCCTCTATATAAGAAACGTTAGTGTACTAAATGTATTATGTATTTAAAACGATTGAGAGTGACTGCTAGACAGTGTTGTAGCAAGGTCATGAGGGGCAAGTCTATTATTTGCACACCAAATCATAGTTCCATGCCCTTGACAGATTGCAGGTACCTTGTGTAGTATTTTTTTTAATATAATAATTATAATGTGGAAACCCAGTGGCAATTCTCTTAAGACATTAAGGAGAGTCATTAGTGATCTGCACTCACTGAAGGTGCAGAATGCATGCTCCATCACTGCAGTGAAAGTGCATGGCAGGCTATAAGATCTTGTGATATCACAACCAACCATTGCAGTCAAGAGGTCCCTTTGGAGCAGGGTTCCCCTGACCGGCGGAACTCCAGGGCCTGGTCTCGACCATTGCAACCCTTTTAGTTGCAATCAGATGGTCACCTAAAAACAAATGGCTCCCCTCCCCCCGCTAAGCTGCTGGTACTAGACATGGAATATAGGGCATAACTTAATATTGATGGAATATCAAGTTTTATATTTATTAATGTTTTTTTTTATTTTTTATTTAATAATTCATTTTGGTTTCTTTGCAGCAGATAATTCTATGAATGAAACCTCCGCAGGACATCAGACCGTTCTGTATTTTCCAGACTGTCTGATCGAGGACACTAGTGGCACAATATATTATCATGGAGCAAACACCACAGGTCAAAACGTGCCTGACAAGAAGGTTAAGAAATCTACAGAGATGTCTAATGTATCCAGATCAATAGCTGGAAAAAAAAAACCTGACTCCCCTGCTTCAACATCCAGCGGACATACAGAGCAAGACAGTACGTCAGCTAGCAAGGAGAACTTGAGCAAGGATAGTCCATCCATCAAACAGCAAACCTGCGCAGCTTGTGGTGAAACCTTTAAGAATAAATTTGATTATTCATCCCATCTAAGAAAATACATCCCAACGATCCCCTTTAACTGGCTCCATGAAACAAACGAAAAAGTGAACAGTGAAGTTAATTGTCCAGAATGCGGCAAGGCGTTCAAGTGCAGATCAGTCCTTAATATTCATCTGAGAAGTCACACCGGAGAGAGGCCATTTGTGTGCTGTAAATGTGGGAAAGACTTCCCCGACATTACCTATCTTAATAAACATATGAAGACTCACAGCGGGGAGAGGCGGCATGCGTGCTCTAAATGTGGGAAATGCTTCATGACAAAGCACTATCTCTCTGTACATGAGACAACGCACACAGGGGTGAAAGCATTTTCATGCCCCGAATGTTCGAAATGCTTCACTCAGCCCGCTTCACTGTCCAGGCACCTCAAAACCCATACAGGAGAGAAACCGTATTCTTGCCCGAAATGTGGTAAAAGCTTTAATCAGAGCTCCAGTCTGGTCAGACATAAGAAAACTCACATATAAAAAAGACAGATTAGGTAAAGACAGATATGGAAACGCCAAGGGAAGAGCTGCACATGGACTGACCTTGTGTTGTCAGAAGGCTGTGCATACTGGGTAAAAGATGTCATTGACTGCAAGTGTAACGAGCAATTAGTATACACTGGCTACCCAGCATTCCAAGTGTATAATGGCTCCTCTTCAGTTGCTAAACTAATTTAGCCACTGTAAAACAAATCACATGCATCACAGACAGAGGAGAACAAAATGACAGTTCAGGTATTCAGCTCTGGTGCAAGGGAAAAAAGAGATCGATATAAATAAAGGCATGGGAGGAGTACAATCATTAATATCTTAAAGGACCACTATAGTGCCAGGAAAACAAACTCAGGGACCCCCTCCCGCCCGGCTCTGGAAAGGGGAGAGGGGTAAAAACTTACCTTTTTCCAGTGCTGGGCGGAGAGCTCTCCTCCTTCTCTCCTCCTCCGTTCCTCCTCCTGGGCTGAATGCGCACGCGCGGCAAGAGCTGCGCGTGCATTCAGCCTGTCGCATAGGAAAGCATTTACAATGCTTTCCTATGGACGCTTGCGTGCTCTCACTGTGAAAATCACAGTGAGAAGCACGCAAGCGCCTCTAGTGGCTGTTAATGAGACAGCCACTAGAGGATTAGGGGAAGGCTTAACCCATTGATAAACATAGCAGTTTCTCTGAAACTGCTATGTTTATAAAAAAATGGGTTAACCCTAGAAGGACCTGGCACCCAGACCACTTCATTAAGCTGAAGTGGTCTGGGTGCCTAGAGTGGTCCTTTAAGGATGTTATGACGTTCTTTCCTGTCCTAACAATAGTGGGCTTTAATGCCATTTGTAGTGAGCACAGTTATGTTTAATTGATACATGGGGTCATATTTAGTGCCCCCAGGCTGACATGAGCTGCATACATCCATTTAAATGGCCACAATGATTTCAAGCTTTTCTCAAATGTGAAGGAGACCCCAAGGTCTGAAAAGCATCTGACAGGGTCCCCCTGCATGCCCCCTGCCAACTGAGACAAGCACTTGATTACAGTGTCACTGGCAGGGACAGCAAACGAGCTGCACCTTGAGAGGGACAACTTTCTCTCATTCTGCAATGTTCCAGTAGATGGCGCTCAAAGACCTCTCTATACTGGTTTACCTCTCTGCTTTTGTCAGTACTGACATTAGCAGAAGGAATCCCTCTGGGTTAGGTCATGGATGACACTGATTTAGGACTAGGGCACAGTTGGTACTTAGATTCTGATCATATGAGGGATTTTGAAATCGGGACTATGCTATGCTATTACAAGTAAAACTGTGGAAAAAAAATATTTTATTTGTTTAACATTTTTTTCACACTTAATGTTGTGTTATGTATACTTCAAATAGCATATTAAAATGCATGCAAAGCTTTCAAACAATAGATCTGCAGTTTTTGATTTATATCCCAATAAAAAAATAACTTATAATTAAAGCCTAGAGAAGACAGGTGGTACAATTCACAGAGGACGTCAATTCACAGAGGACCAGCAAATTCCATGTGACCGGGAGGCGGTGAAACTAGGAAGTAACCGCTGATTGTTGGCACTCTGTCTGTTACATATGTAAGGTTGTGGGTACCCTGTGGGGATACCCATATTAATTAGGTAAGCATTTTTTCCCCATAATAAAGATTTTTGAAACTGCATCATTTGGGTTCCTGGTTTTTCTGCTACTCTCTTAATTAAAGGGACACTCCAGCCACTCAGACCACTTCTGCCCATTGGAGTGGTCTGGGTGCCAACTGCCATCACCCTTATCCCTGCAAGTGTAATTATTGCAGTTTTTATAAACTGCACTAATAACCTTGCAGGGTTAAAGGGAAACTCCAGTGCCAGGAAAACAATCAGGTTTCCTGTGCTAGGAACCAGGAAGTGCCCTCTAGTGGCTGTCTAGTAGACAGCCACTAGAGGTGGAGTTAACCCTGCAAGGTAATTATTGCAGTTTATAAAAAACTGCAATAATTACACTTGCAGGGTTAAGAGTAGTGGGAGTTGGCACCCAGACCACTCCAATGGGCAGAAGTGGTCTGGGTGCCTGGAGTGTCCCTTTAAGTCCTCCTCTAGAGGCTGTCTATCAGACAGCCACTAGAGGGACTTCCGGCTTCTTAGAAAACAAAAAATGTTTTAAATTACGCTTGAATAATGCTTTCCTATGGGGAGGTCTAGTTCTTAGGTCTCCCCCTTTGGCAGATGTCAGCGGGGGAGGAGCATGGGCGGAGCCTAACCCAGTGCCGAGGGACATCGGCGCTGGATTCAGGTAAGTCACTGAAAGGGTTTTAACCCCATCAGCGACATGGGGTGGGGGCACTGCAGTGCCAGGAAAACAGGTTTGTTTGTTTTCCTGGCACTGGAGAGTCCCTTTAAGAATAAGAATCATACATTGCTGACTGAATTTGGATCATTGTGAGACCTACCCTTCTCATCTGGTCAATTGTGGGATCGATCCCTCTCAAGGGTAATTCTTCAAACCCAGAGTCCGAGTTAATAAGGCTATAGTAAATGTGAGTGTGATACCCAGACATACCCTCTTGTTTTCAGTATATATGCTCATGCACCAGATGGTCTGCAATATATATATATATGTGTGTTATCATTTACAGATTATAATTTTCAGAAGATTTATTGTCAAGTATATTTCTAAGCGCACAAATTTTTTTGGGGGTATTTTGTTTTTCAATTTTGTACCATTTTTGTGGTGAGTGCTGCTGGAGTTGTGTATACCTATAATATTAGTCACATGTGTTTATGCACTTTTTTAGGAACTTAAGTGCTCTCCACCTTTTGGTTTAAGTGATTTTTATTTATCTATTGTATTTAAAGGGACACTATAGTCACAAAAATAAATTTAGCTTAATGAAGCAGAATTGGTGTATAGCTAATACGCTTGCAGTCTCAGTGCTCAATTCTCAGCTGCTTAGGAGTTAAATTGTCTTGTTTATACAGCCCTAGGCACACCTCCCTACATGTGACTTACACAGCCTTCCTAAACACTTCCTGTAAAGAGTTATCTAATGTTTATACTTCCTTTATTACAAATTCTGTTTAATTTAGAATTTCATATCTCATGCTCTGTTATTAGCTTGGTAGATCCTGTAGGAGCCTCCTGTGTGTATTTAAAGTTCAATTTACAGAGCAGGAGATAAACACTTTTAAAGTAAGTTACATCTGATTGAAAATGAGACCAATTTGTTTTTATGCAGGCTGTCAATCACAGCCAGAGGAGGTGGAACTAGGGCTGCATAAACAGAAACAAAAATGATTTAACCTCTTCAGGACCGGACTGTTTTTGCGATGTTTCTGCATTAAAGGACCACTCTAGGCACCCAGACCACTTCAGCTTAATGAAGTGGTCTGGGTGCCAGGTCCAGCTAGGGTTAACCCATTTTTAAATAAACATAGCAGTTTCAGAGAAACTGCTATGTTTATTAATGGGTTAAGCCTTCCCCCAAAGCCTCTAGTGGCTGTCTCATTGACAGCCACTAGAGGCGCTTGCGTGCTTCTCACTGTGAAAATCACAGTGAGAGCACGCCAGTGTCCATAGGAAAGCATTGTAAATGCTTTCCTATGCGACCAGCTGAATGCGCGCACAGCTCTTACCGCGCGTGCGCATTCAGCCGACAGGGCGGAACGGAGGAGGAGAGAAGGAGGAGAGCTCTCCGCCCAGCGCTGGAAAAAGGTAAGTTTAAACCCCCTTCCCCTTTCCAGAGCCGGCGGGAGGGGGTCCCTGAGGGTGGGGGCACCCTCAGGGCACTATAGTGCCAGGAAAACGAGTATGTTTTCCTAGCACTATAGTGGTCCTTTAAGGACCAGAGCTATTTTAACACTTTTGTGGTGTTTGTGTTTAAATGTAATTTTCCACTCTCTTATTTACTGTTCCGATACAAATTATATATTGGGTTTTTTCAGGACAAAAAGGGCTTTCTTTACATACTATTATTTTTATCATGTCATAATTGAATTAAAAAATAATAATTAAATATGCTGAAAATTTTTTTTTGAAAAGTGTTTTTTACTTTTACTTAAAAAAATCTTTTACTGATCTACAAAATCGAATGAAACAAACTGCTAAATAGGTTAAAAATGTTGTCCTGAGTTTAAAAACACCGAATGTTCATGTGTTTTTTTGCTTTTATTTGCAGGTTATAGGGCTATAGGTACAAGTAGGAAATTGCTGTTTCAAAATGTACATTTTTCAAATGTATCAATAGTGACATTGTAACACTGTTATGTCATAAATCTACAAAAAACACATGTATATATTTTTCTAGATAACCCAGGGTATTCATCTAAGAATATTTTTATACTTTCTATGCAGCCATTTTACCACAAACCTTTGCCAAACTTTGCATAGGTAGTTTATTTTTTTATTTTTTTTTTCACAAACATTGCAATTCAGGTATAAATTCACAGATTCTGTTAGGTGTCACTGCCAAACAACACCCCAATATGTGTTCAGCAACATCTCCCGAGTACAGGGATACCCCCCATGTATAGGTGTGTTGGGTTGTTTGGGGGCTAAAAGGTCACATTTGGCAGGTGCGCATATCAGTTTCCCAGCTTGGAATTTTGACATGTAATCAACCTGCGCCCATGTGCCATTTGAGCCAATGTATTTTACCCCCATCAAACCATATATTTTTGAAAAGTAGACACCCTAGGGCAGGGGTAGGCAACCTACGGCACTAGTGCCATGCACGGCACTCGAGGTGTCTTTGTACGGCACTCAAGGCTGCTAGAGCCAAACGCACTCTGGCCTATCAGGAGTCCCAGTAAAACTTCAGATATCTGCTAATACGAAGAGGTGGTGAAGGACAAACCTCAATTTATGCATTGCAGCACATAGAGGAAGTGATCTCAGATCACTTCCTCCCAGCACTTGTGAATGGGAATTCACAGTGTAGTAGAGCAGCCCTCGACAGCTATCGCAGCTCCTGTCCTTGACCTGTGCCTGGCCAGCCTGGTCCCCACTGGAACCCATGGAACCCACCCACACTGCTAGATATACACAGAAATGTAGAATAACCCTCCCCTCATACAAATAATATGAACAGCCCACACACACACACACAACACACAATCCCCACAAACGCAACACCACTAACAATATACATACATGTACACAACCCCACTTGCAGCCTCTCACATGCAATACCCCAAACAGCCCCCACACACTACCAAACACACAATGTGACATATCCATCCACACACAATTCCACAAGTAGCCCTCATCCACAGCCCACATTCATATGTATCATACACGATACCACAAACTACTAATGAACATATACAATATAATAGCTCATATACGCACAAATAAAACGATACAAAGCAATTACAGTAAAAATAACACAAGCAGAATACGGCAGCATACACACCTCAATTTAAAAAAATAGGATCGGCACGCTACGGGACATCACAATCCTATATCGGCACAGTGCTGCTAAAAGGTTGCCTACCCCTGCACTAGGGTATTTCACATGGTGGTATTTTAACACTTTCCATACACTAATTCTACCACCATGCTTTGTCAAACATTGAGTTAGTAATTTTTTTTCTGTTTTTTTCACACACATTGTACTTTAGG